CAATTCAGATGGCCTGAAATGGCCCAATTCTTTCTGTAGAGACCATGTGGGCATCCCCACTCATGGCTGAAGCTCTGTGTGCATCCATACTTGGGAAAACACCAGCATTCCACAATTCAAACGCATGGTGTCAAAACATGGAATCAGACAAATTTGCCCACAGAAGTGGTACCAGGCCAATTCAGATGGCCTGAAATGGCCAAATTCTTTCTGTAGAGACCATGTGGGCATGCCCACTCATGGCTGAAGCTCTGTGTGCATCCATACTTGGGAAAACACCAGCATTCCACAATTCAAACGCATGGTGTCAAAACATGGAATCAGACAAATTTGCCCACAGAAGTGGTACCAGGCCAATTCAGATGGCCTGAAATGGCCCAATTCTTTCTGTAGAGACCATGTGGGCATCCCCACTCATGGCTGAAGCTCTGTGTGCATCCATACTTGGGAAAACACCAGCATTCCACAATTCAAACGCATGGTGTCAAAACATGGAATCACACCAATTTGCCCACAGAAGTGGTACCAGGCCAATTCAGATGGCCTGAAATGGCCCAATTCTTTCTGTAGAGACCATGTGGGCATCCCCACTCGTGGCTGAAGCTCTGTGTGCATCCATACTTTGGAAAGCACCAGCATTCCACAATTCAAACTTACAGTGTCAAAATATGGAATCAGACAAATTTGCCCACAGAAGTGGTACCAGGCCAATTCAGATGGCCTGAAATGGCCCAATTCTTTCTGTAGAGACCATGTGGGCATCCCCACTCATGGCTGAAGCTCTGTGTGCATCCATACTTGGGAAAACACCAGCATTCCACAATTCAAACGCATGGTGTCAAAACATGGAATCAGACAAATTTGCCCACAGAAGTGGTACCAGGCCAATTCAGATGGCCTGAAATGGCCATATTCTTTCTGTAGAGACCATGTGGACATCCCCACTCATGGCTGAATCTGAACTCTGTGTGCATCCATACTTGGGAAAACACCAGCATTCCACAATTCAAACGCATGGTGTCAAAACATGGAATCAGACAAATTTGCCCACAGAAGTGGTACCAGGCCAATTCAGATGGCCTGAAATGGCCAAATTCTCTCTGTAGAGACCATGTGGGCATGCCCACTCATGGCTGAAGCTCTGTGTGCATCCATACTTGGGAAAACACCAGCATTCCACAATTCAAACGCATGGTGTCAAAACATGGAATCAGACAAATTTGCCCACAGAAGTGGTACCAGGCCAATTCAGATGGCCTGAAATGGCCCAATTCTTTCTGTAGAGACCATGTGGGCATCCCCACTCATGGCTGAAGCTCTGTGTGCATCCATACTTGGGAAAACACCAGCATTCCACAATTCAAACGCATGGTGTCAAAACATGGAATCACACCAATTTGCCCACAGAAGTGGTACCAGGCCAATTCAGATGGCCTGAAATGGCCCAATTCTTTCTGTAGAGACCATGTGGGCATCCCCACTCGTGGCTGAAGCTCTGTGTGCATCCATACTTGGAAAGCACCAGCATTCCATAATTCAAACTTACAGTGTCAAAATATGGAATCAGACAAATTTGCCCACAGAAGTGGTACCAGGCCAATTCAGATGGCCTGAAATGGCCCAATTCTTTCTGTAGAGACCATGTGGGCATCCCCACTCATGGCTGAAGCTCTGTGTGCATCCATACTTGGGAAAACACCAGCATTCCACAATTCAAACACACGGTATCAAAACATGAAATCTGACAAATTTGCCCACAGAAGTGGTACCAGGCCAATTCAGATGGCCCAATTCTTTCTGTAGAGACCATGTGGGCATCCACACTCATGGCTGAAGCTCTGTGTGCATCCATACTTGGGAAAACACCAGCATTCCACAATTCAAACACACAGTATCAAAACATGGAATCAGACAAATTTGCCCACAGAAGTGGTACCAGATGGCCTGAAATGGCCCAATTCTTTCTGTAGAGACCATGTGGGCATCCCCACTCATGACTGAAGCTCTGTGTGCATCCATACTTGGAAAGCACCAGCATTCCACAATTCAAACTTACAGTGTCAAAATATGGAATCAGACAAATTTGCCCACAGAAGTGGTACCAGGCCAATTAAGATGGCCTGAAATGGCCAAATTCTTTCTGTAGAGACCATGTGGGCATCCCCACTCATGGCTGAAGCTCTGTGTGCATCCATACTTGGGAAAACACCAGCATTCCACAATTCAAACGCATGGTGTCAAAACATGGAATCAGACAAATTTGCCCACAGAAGTGGTACCAGGCCAATTCAGATGGCCTGAAATGGCCATATTCTTTCTGTAGAGACCATGTGGACATCCCCACTCATGGCTGAATCTGTGTGCATCCATACTTGGGAAAACACCAGCATTCCACAATTCAAACACACGGTATCAAAACATGGAATCAGACAAATTTGCCCACAGAAGTGGTACCAGGCCAATTCAGATGGCCTGAAATGGCCCAATTCTTTCTGTAGAGACCATGTGGGCATCCCCACTCATGGCTGAAGCTCTGTGTGCATCCATACTTGGGAAAACACCAGCATTCCACAATTCAAACGCATGGTGTCAAAACATGGAATCAGACAAATTTGCCCACAGAAGTGGTACCAGGCCAATTCAGATGGCCTGAAATGGCCAAATTCTTTCTGTAGAGACCATGTGGGCATGCCCACTCATGGCTGAAGCTCTGTGTGCATCCATACTTGGGAAAACACCAGCATTCCACAATTCAAACGCATGGTGTCAAAACATGGAATCAGACAAATTTGCCCACAGAAGTGGTACCAGGCCAATTCAGATGGCCTGAAATGGCCATATTCTTTCTGTAGAGACCATGTGGACATCCCCACTCATGGCTGAATCTGTGTGTGCATCCATACTTGGGAAAACACCAGCATTCCACAATTCAAACGCATGGTGTCAAAACATGGAATCAGACAAATTTGCCCACAGAAGTGGTACCAGGCCAATTCAGATGGCCTGAAATGGCCCAATTCTTTCTGTAGAGACCATGTGGGCATCCCCACTCGTGGCTGAAGCTCTGTGTGCATCCATACTTGGAAAGCACCAGCATTCCACAATTCAAACTTACAGTGTCAAAATATGGAATCAGACAAATTTGCCCACAGAAGTGGTACCAGGCCAATTCAGATGGCCTGAAATGGCCATATTCTTTCTGTAGAGACCATGTGGGCATGCCCACTCATGGCTGAAGCTCTGTGTGCATCCATACTTGGGAAAACATCAGCATTCCACAATTCAAACGCATGGTGTCAAAACATGGAATCAGACAAATTTTCCCACAAAAGTGGTACCAGGCCAATTCAGATGGCCTGAAATGGCCCAATTCTTTCTGTAGAGACCATGTGGGCATCCCCACTCATGGCTGAAGCTCTGTGCGCATCCATACTTGGGAAAACACCAGCATTCCACAATTCAAACACATGGTATCAAAACATGGAATCACACCAATTTGCCCACAGAAGTGGTACCAGGCCAATTCAGATGGCCTGAAATGGCCCAATTCTTTCTGTAGAGACCATGTGGGCATCCCCACTCATGGCTGAAGCTCTGTGTGCATCCATACTTGGGAAAACACCAGCATTCCACAATTCAAACACACGGTATCAAAACATGAAATCTGACAAATTTGCCCACAGAAGTGGTACCAGGCCAATTCAGATGGCCCAATTCTTTCTGTAGAGACCATGTGGGCATCCACACTCATGGCTGAAGCTCTGTGTGCATCCATACTTGGGAAAACACCAGCATTCCACAATTCAAACACACAGTATCAAAACATGGAATCAGACAAATTTGCCCACAGAAGTGGTACCAGATGGCCTGAAATGGCCCAATTCTTTCTGTAGAGACCATGTGGGCATCACCACTCATGGAAATACATTGATATCACATTCCTTCAATTAGTTTTTGAAATATCAGCGTTTGAGGTGTAGCCTAAATGTCCTCCATCTTTGGAATTCAGGCTTTAAACTTTTTCTTTTCAAGTGATGATGAGTTAATAATAACTCATCATCACTTGTGCCTATAGTGATATATCCACCTGTCCTTGATGCAGCAGTGTACAAGCTTCCATTTGAATCTGGAAAATACACAAAGGTCATGATTTCCCAACTCACATCCTGTGTATAAATACATGAAATGGGACAAATTAACTCACAGTACTGGTGCCAGGCAACTCCAAATGGGCTGAAATGTGACCATGCTTTTTGCTGTGACCATGTGTACAACCCATATTGGCAAATGTCATACAACAATCAACATTCCCAATATGAAAGTTTGGAATGAGTCACATTTATCCACACGGAACCAGGTTAGAACCAATGGCCTCAAATGTTGCCCTAATTTCTGCAGAAACCATGTGGGGATCCTCATTTAGGTACTTGGAATCAGACCACTCTCTCCCTCTGTCTTTAAGGTTCTAGCCTTTAATGTATTTCCAGATTTGCATATTTAGCCCTCTCAATAGATGACAATTTGGAATCACTTTGTCCCTTAATAACTAATCAATACTTGTACCTAGAGTTATGCAACCACCTGTACGTGTTACAGCAATCTACAAGCTTCCTTGGGTACTTGGAATCAGGCTCCTCTCTCCTTCTGTCTTTAAAATATAGGCCTTCAAAGTGATTCCAGGATTGAATCTATGGCCTACTTAATAGATGAGAATCTGGAATCATTTGGTCCCTCAATAACTCAGTGATACATGTACCTAGAGTGATGCAGCATCCTGTCTTTGATAGACAGTCATTGACAACAATGTAGAATCTTCCATTGGTTCTCGGAATCAACCCATTCTCTCAATCAGTCTTTGAAATATCAGCCTTTACACCACTTAATGAGGATAAAATCTCAAACTTTGATGCCCCCTAGCTCTGTACAGGAAGGGGGATGAAAATATTTATTTCACAGTTTTGCAGCACACAAAATCAGGGAATAAAAAATAAACTCATCAATTTTGCAGTTTAAACAGTTTTATTAAACAAAACCAAATTGAAAAACAAAATGTTATTAACAATATTTTTTGGAGTCATACTTAACATCTCAAACAAATTAAAGATCTTAATGAACCCTAACGCTTTCCTCCCTCAGTTTGTCCCTCCTTGCCATATCCCGCTGCATCCTGCATTTCACTCCACAATGCTAAATGTACTTGTACACAATGAGAATAATTAGGATAATGAAGTACAGTATTCCAGCTAGAATCACAACGACTGGGACCACATCCCACAGGTCACATGCTCGTCCACATAGCACTCCCGATCTAAAAGGGAAACAAAACCACTTTATTGTAATATAGTACAAATATCACTTGATTCATCATCATACTATTTGAAATAATTATATATATTTAAAGTAGAAACTGCACTTGCCTATGTGGTGCATCTTGGTGCGATCCTTGTTGTGGCTGGGACTGAATTTGGATGGAGAGGCCTTCATTTGGCATCTGCATCCTCATTTCTATTGCACGATCTATCCATGTGTCAGTTAGATATAAACAATTTTAGAAAGTTTAACCTCTGTCTGATTAAATTAATTTTAGAAAGCAAACACAAGTACAGCAAACAACAAATTAACATGCCTGGCATTGCTGAGTGACTTCCTGTTGACAAGCCTGATTTCCTGTTGACACCTGCATAAAAAGGACCACCCCAGTAATTAATATGTTATTGGAAACTAGTTGTCATTTTTACTCAGTAATTGAATTTTTTTGTGCTTTGGATGCTGAATCTCTATGAACTACAAATTAGAATTCAAATCAAAGCTTTGATTATTTTTTATTTAATTTCATGAATTAAGTGGAAGGTAGATTGAAATTTGGAAATAAAATTTACATTCCACATTTACATCTATGTAATAACATTTTCGTTTTCGACAAAAAATTAATAAAAACGACTTTTAAAAGTTCAAAATTGCATGATAACATGACACTGGGGTGTTACCCACTGAAATACGACAAAATCAACCCAGTATCAACAATTTTGTATGAGAAAAATCTATAAACTACAGAGCTAAGACTTACTCACCATGTGTTCAATGCTCCTTCTGTAGCTGCTACTTCTGTAGCTCATACTTCCTGTTGACAGAGAAAGTCCATGTTTTCATCTATAGGCATTCATTACACAATAGATTAAAACATGGAAGGTAAGAACATTATTGATTGAATTTAAACTTGGAAATTATGTTTTCTTGTTTTTCTTTTTTTAGAATTTTTTCATCCAACATGTTTATGGTTATAAAAATATTAAATACACCACACCTGCACATTCTGTGTGACTTTTATTAAATTACGGTGAATTAACAATGATGCTTATTGCTATTTGACTAGCTTGAATGATAAAGCTGTCTAGCTTGTTGTGGTTTTAAGGTTTTTTAATGATTTAATATTGTAAACAATATGAAATCATGAGGTGCTTGTTGTGCTGAAATTGTAAAGAAACTAGACTTCAGTTTTTTTGTTCTTTTTCAGGTGCCCTGCCTGCAG